GGGGGTTACAGCGGAGTGAAAAATGTGAAAATTAAGTGAAATAAATCTGAGAATAAGATTAACTTTTCATGAAGGTGCTCATGACACAAATACTGGATGAAAGTCTTAATAAGACACACTGGCATGTTGACTAATAAAAATAAAAAAGTAGAAATGGAAATGCAGACACGCCCCGAGGCTTTAATGAAGGAAAAAAATAATAATTTAACTTCAGACATGGCAAGAGCAGCCTTCAAAGAAGAATGAAATAAATAAACAGCCAAGGCCTCCAGGCTTTTTCCCTAACAGGCGTGTGGCTCAACTTCACTTCTATAATCTAACTTGAATGACACTGACAAGATTAGGTCCACTTTCAGCTATTTTTAAAAAAAGGTGAAGTAGGGAAAAATAAAAAAAGATGATTTTAAATTTCACTCACCACAGATGGCCTCGTCTGATTTGTCGACGCAGTCGTCGACGCGGTCACATTCGGCGTTCACCTTGTTGACACAGTCGCCGTTCGCACACGTGAAGCTGTAGTTGGAGCACAGACCYGGGGCTGTGGAGGTTGGGGGTGGGAGACAGGTTTCAAAGTGAAAACACACATTTAACCAGTAAAATACTGTGCAATCAGCGAGGCTTCAAAGTGAGGCTTGAATGCACAATGCACTGTGATTGAGGAGCAGATTGCATTGATTGGGCGTATTGATTGGGATTAAGGTCCAATATCCCTCTTTATTCACAGAAGTGAAAATCAAAAGGAAATGCAATCGTGCCCTCTGTGTGCGTCTAGGACTGGGGGAGACTGAATCGAGGGGGGGAACTGATGAAGAGTAAAAGAGGAGAAGAAAATGAAATGAGTAAAAAAAAGTACTAAAAAAAGCAAAGTACTCTGAAGACTAAGCTGAAGTCTTGATGACATCTTTGTTAAACCTACAACTTTGCTGTGCTGTAAACTACTTAACGTTCTGTGTAACAAGATATAAAAAGTTTAAATCCACGTAGGAGTATCAGGGCTACACTACAAGAATCTTTTTTTATTTTACGAGAAAAAAAGTCATACAGGAATAAAGTTGAAATATTATGAGAATAAAGTCATAACATTACCAGAAAAAATTCGGACTATTACTTGTAAAAAGTTGTACATGTATAAACTCAAAATATTAGGAGAATAAATTCATAATCTTAGGAGAAAAAAAATCATACAAGAATGAAGTCAAAATATCACCAGAATAAAGTCGTAATATTACGAGAACTCCTATTTAAAAAAGCTTACCACTGTGTGAATGTTGGGCATGTTTTAAGTTATGCTTTGGCATCAATATTATTTAAACTGACTGTGACCCAAAAGTAATTAGGTTCTACTTCAGAAACAAAGAGACGCGCATTGCCGGCTGTCCATATGAGGAAAATGGAAAAGTCATGCAAGATCATGAGTTTTTGTTATAATACAAAAAATAAAAAAAATTGCAATATTGCATTGTGTGGTTCTAATACTCTGTTGTACTGAAGAGGGCACAGACTGGCTGGAAATGAGTATTACCACTTACAGCTTTTACAAGAGGCCTCATCACTTCCGTCATCGCAGTCTTTCCTACTGTTGCAGACGACATCTTGAGGCAGACAAACTCCGGTCCCACAGCGCCACTCGTTTGGCTCGCAGCCTGAAACCGATGAAATGCATTTATTTAAAAAAACATGCATGTATTTTAAATAATAATAATAATAATAATAATAATAATAAATAAATAAATAAAGCTGCAGCAGTAATGAAAAATAACATCTGTCTCCATACTTCTTGCATGCATTACACATAAAAAATAAAAATAACAGGTCAGAAACAACACTAGTAACCTTTAGCACAACTAGCATAGCATTTAACAGGTTTTGGATCTCTGCATTACGACGACAGTTTTGATGTGTTGAACTAGTGTTTATAATATCTCCCCCTGTTGTAGATAGTTTCTTGAATGACATCTGAAGAAATATTTCTTACTTCTGAGTGCACTCCTGAGATAATAGGTAGTTCGAGCGAGGCTGAGATTAAAGAGAATTGCTGCCATTTTAAAACAACTCAAATCTCAAGTACTTCATTATAATACCAACAGTTTTTATAAACCTTTACACAATCATCAGTTCTGCATTATTAAGTTATTTACGTAGAAGTTTCTGTTTATTTCCATGTGCAGATAGTAGCAGCAAGTAGCTACAGCGCTTCCAGACGCAACATTTCTGGCTGTGCTTTAAATTCAAGGCCGACCAATACGATTTGTTTTATGGCCAAATCTAATCTTCAGAGTTTAGAGTAGCTGATGTCTGACATACATGCCACAGTACCTTTATTTCAACCTTTAAGAAAAATGACAACTGTTTAACTTAAACGTAAATGATCAATAGACGGTACTTATCAGTGGTGGGCAGCGCTAATCCAAAAATTAGCTCCACAATTTCTAAACAGCTTATGAAAATATTTAGGTCTACAACTTCAAAAGCGCTTATGCATAGAAAAACTAGCAGAACCTAATTTTAAAGCGCACTTTCAATTTGACACTTACTAGCTGGCAATAATTCATGTACAATATATGCGCAACACTGCCAACTAGCAGTGTATGAACTCTTTTACAGCTTAATCCTACAACCGCCGATAGCTGGGGATGTGATTTCCTGAAACAGAACTTGGGCTCCTGGTGTAATAATTAAAAAGTTGTTGAGGATTGCTAGTTCAGCTGATTCTTTGTTTTTCTTTTGTTTAAAGGTAAAGGTGCTTTATTTGTCATCAGTGTATGTTTCCACACAATGACGAAATTGTGCTCGAAATTGTGCTCTGCATTTAACCCATCCACACCCAAGTGGAGCAGCGGGCAGCCATGTGAGGCGCCCGGGGAGCAGTTAGGGTTAGGTGTCTTGCTCAAGGACACCACCACATGTGGGTATGGCGGGGAGTCGAACCTAAGACTTTCGGGTCCCAAGCCGGCTGCTCTACCACTACACCACAGCTGCCCATTTGTTGTAGAGTTTTCATTAAAGAAGCATCAATAAAGTAATTTTAAAACTGTTAATTGGAAAACTGAAGCGATGCATTCTGGGTACATGACGGATTTGATTTGTGACGGGAAACGAAAGCACGAAGCACAGGAAACTATCTGCGAACTTCAAAATAAGAGCATGGATTTGAAAGTTTTCCATGTAGTTGCTCCAGTTGACCACTAGATGTCTGTCTTCATCAGCATAACATCTTTAAATCATTTCTGAGTCTCTAACCCCGTTGGCGGATTGCTTCGACCAATTATGTCAAGAATTGAGCTCCAGCATTTAAACTTTTTTTTTAAAAAGGCGCTCCGATTGTAAAGTATAATAAATCAATACATTCAAAATTTTAGTATGTATTACAAACGTTAACTGTTTTAACTGGGACAGGGCGTTCTAAACATTGCCTTCCTGCTACGAAAGCAGACACAAAGCATTGTGCGAAATCAGAAACGTGACCGAGAGCAACAAGCATTTTAATTTTAGAAAGTGCAAATCCGCTWATGAATTCTAAAAATTAGTAAGACCGCTAAAGCGCAAACAAAATATTTAGGTCTGCAATTAGCAGATTTGCGCTTTAGCGGGCTGGTGCCCACCACTGCTACTTATATACTTAAAAATGTTTATAAATTAGAATCTGACTGAAATACTAGGTTTTAGAGCCTGGAGTTGTTTTGAGACAGCAAAAAACTACTTTGTTCTTGGACTCGCTCAGACTAGCAGTTAGCTCGTCTGTCTAGTCAGAATCCATAGATTTTTGTTTTTAAATCTTTCCATAAAATCTACTTAAAAAATTAACAATCTATTGTTTTCATGTTRGCCTGCCCACCTGAAAATGAAGAGGCTTTGATTGCCTAAACTGAACTTCCAAACGATGGGAACACTTACTGCACTGTTTCTCGTCGCTCCCGTCTCCACAGTCGTTGACACGATCACACACATAGAGCAGTGGTTTGCACAAACCATTCGCACACGAAAACTGGTCCTTGTCGCATTCTGAAAAAAAAAAGAAGAACAGAAATGACCTCAAAACAACAGCAATAAATCATTTGGAAATCATTGGCTCAGCAGCATCAGACAGTGATGGCACTCCAGATAGATCAAAACTGACATTTTGCAAAAATATCAACATCTTAGGAACAACCAGAGCTCACTATTTAACAAACTCAGAGTGGCTCATTTAACAAGTGTATGAGGACGGAGCGAGAGCTTAAAAAGACACGTTTTAGTAGGTCGGTGCACCATTTCTTGGCCATTAGCACTGAATGATTTCCAAGAGTCTGGTAACCTCGCACTGAGGAGTGGATAAGATATGATCTCGCTCATAAAAACCACAGCTTGTCATTTTTATGCTCCTCAGATTTTGTTATCTCAGGACAGATGCAGGCTAAGTGTCTCCCCCCTCCTCCCTTCCTCATCCAGCCGTTTTGCTGAGCTAAGCTTCCCGACTGCTGGCAACATTTAGCAGAATGATATGAACATGGTATCATTCTTCTTATCAAACCCTCAGCAAAAAAAAAAAACAAAAACACTAAGAGTTGCTTTTTTTTCCTAATGGCAAACTATTTCTTTAAAGAAATGAGAACTTGAAAACGATAAAAGGAAAAAAAAAGTGTTTCGGACTGCTTACTGCAGTTTGCCTCGTCGCTCATGTCGCCACAGTCGTTCCAGCCGTCACACTGTAGTGATTTAGAGATGCATATGCCAGACTTGCAGGAGAACTTGCCTGGGCAAGCTGCTCACATAAAAGAAAAAAAGATCAAATAGTTAAGACCAATTTAGTACAAGGGATGGGACCGTTCGCAACATCGCTGCAATTATAAACCAATTTTGGTCAAACATGGAAAAAACATTAAAAGCAGTGTCCTCCTGTGTGACTGTTCRGATGTAACGATAAGATCTTTGCTGATTAGTTGAACTCATACGCTCATATCAATCATATCTGTTTGAGTCGGCCTTCTCCATTGTTTTGAGTCTTAGTCGTTACTCGCAGTCTCTGTCCTGATGTAGTGTTTCATCCATCTTACAAACTGTTGTGTATGTTTGAGAGAGAGRRAAAAAGCAACTCACGGTTCWTGGGGTCGTAGGCGCTGTACTCTGCACTGAAGCCTTTGTCTGTATAGGACTCATCAGAGTGAAAAAACACTTCCAAGATGTTCGTGTCGCTGGTCAGAGCCAAATTAGTCAGTTCTCCACAATACCTGGGACACAAAATATTTTCACACGAGGTTTGACTAGTGGTGTCCTGAAACCAGTTACCGAGACTAAACATGCTCAAAATGTCCCAATACAAACACCGGTAGAAATACTGGGATTGTAGTATCACTAGTCCATTGAATGTCTTACAGTTTACATTTCAACCACTCTAAATGGATCAAATCAAATATACAGTATCTGTTTTTGTTGGAAAATTTTAACAGGGTTCCCACAACTTGGTCAACATCAAATTCAAGGACCTTTCAAGGACTTTCCAGTACCAATTTCCTCAAATTGAAGAACCATGCTCGATGTCAATTACCTAATGTTACCAATAAGCAGGTTTAATATCATGTAAATTCAATTTAAGCAAAGAAGTTGTTGAGTTAGAATCAATGGAATAAAGTGGATTAAATGTAAACCCTACATTCATGTCCACAATATAAGAAAATGTAATTATGCAATTCACCAACACGCCTGTGAGAAGATGGCATGCATGATTCATGTGCTGTTACACAAACATTAACTAAACACAGGAATAAACATTGCAGTGCCGAACAAACAAAAAACAACAATACATTGTTACTGGTTGAAAATCACGTCAGTTTACCGTAATCCAGAGTTATCTACCGCTACAAATGTAAGACTTTATTTTATTTTATTATTATTTTCTTATTATTATAATTTTTTTTTTTTTTTTTACAGATGATGAAAATCAGTCATGTGAATAGAGAACTTCAATCCCCAAAAAACATTCAAGGACTTTCAAGGACAAGTGTAATTTTTGGCTGTTTTCACAAACTTTCTAGGGTCTTGGAATGTTTTTTTTAATTCACAAACTTTCAAGGATTTCAAGGACCTGTGGGAACCCTGTTTTAAAGACTTTCTTTCAACTTGAATAATCTTCAAACACGTAAAACAAACTTTAACATACTAAATGGAGTATTTATATCAGTATCGAGGCACTGAAAAACTACTTGTAATGATGCAGTATCAGTATAAGGACAATACTACTTTTAGGAACTTTTTAACTTCATAAAAACTTTAATTTAAATTAATATTTTTTATTTGTATGTTTATTTATTTATTTAGTAGTCTATCCAGCATGAGAACATGACCAAAACTCCTTTCTCTCGCCCACGTTCAGTTTTCCTTGTGTACTGTGTTTTAAGCACCACCTGCCACTGAAACAGAGGAGTAAATCAAGTCTTACTTGTTAGCCATGATTTCCACGTAATCTTTGTGACACCTACGGATGTCCACCCCCGGTTCTTTCATGCGGAACATGTTGAACTTCACTCGAACTTTTTGCCCCTCGCTGACCTACGACACAGAACAGGTCCCATATCGACAAAGTTTACAGTGGGTAAAATAAGTATTGAACACGTCACCATTTTTCTCAGTAAATATATTACTAGAGGTGCTAATGACATAAAATTTTCACCAGATGTCGGTAACAACCCAAGTGATCCATACATACAAAGAAATCAAATGTCCAGAAATGAAGTTATTTGTAATAATGTGGAATGGCACAGGGAAAAAGTATTGAACACACTTACTGAAATTTATCTAATACTTTGTAAAAAAAAAAAGGCCTTTGTTGTCAATGACAGCTTCAAGACGCCTCCTGTATGGAGAAACTAGTGGCATGCATTGCTCAGGTGTGATT